CGGTTTTTCTTCATGTATTTTAAAACTGTTGTTAGGTGAATTATATTGTATCACTGACCCTTTAATTACATAGCATTTGTCCTTATCCCGTTACCATTTCTGGTTCTGAAGTTTACTGTATCTGGTGCCAATAGAGCCACTCTGGCTGCCACCATCTCCTCCTCTTTCTCCCCCTGCTCTTCCTCACTCTCCCCTTTCTTCTTTTTTCCTTAGTGTTTGCATGATGTATTTTACTTTTCTTTTCCCTAAAGATAGGTTTTCACTATCAAAATCCTCCTGCCTCAGCTTCCACTCCGGGACTGCAGGCATGTGCTACTATGTCCAGCTCCGTCTCAGACGGGGTCTCATGCTGGTGCCCAGACCGCCTCAGGTTGTGGGCCTCTTGCCTTCATCTCCAGGTTGCTGGGGTTGCAGGTTCGCACCACCATGCCTGGCCGTTAGGTTGGACCAAGAATGGAACCTGAGGCTGCAGTGTGATTCGAGCTGTGAAACAGTGTCTTAGCACCACACACCCCACAGCTGGGCCTCTGTCTTCCTACTTTTAATACATTTACAAGGTGACTTCAAAAAGCAGATGGAAAAATAGAATTAAAATATGAGTTTTGGCAAAACATGTTTTTAAATCTATACATAGTATTTAAAAATTGTATTTATTATTATTATTATTTAATTTGCTGTAGGGCATGTGCACTCACCAGAGAAAGATGAGAGAGAGAGAGAGAGAGAATGAGAAAGCAAGCCATCAGGTCCAGAACTCGAACCATGGTCATTGATGTGAGAGTCCAATGCCTTAACCACCATGCCACCTGCTGGCCCCATACATACTTTTTTTCACAATATGTATTTTCCATAAGCTCTTTGAAAACTCCTTTTATATTTTTATATTTACAGTGGATATCTTGTATACAGACAATAGGTGAGTCTTACTTTAACACCCAATCACACAATCTCTGTGCTTTAATTGGTTGTTTAATTTTACACTTGTTATCATTATTGCCAAAGTTGGATTTATGTCTACCTTTTTATTATCAGTGTTTCATTTACCCCATCTCTTTTATTTCTTTTGTTTCTTTTTTCTTGTCTTCTTTTGGATATTTGAATTTTTAAAAATTCCATTTTATTTATTTTTTGGGGGGCTATATCTCTATATTAATTTTATAGTGGTGGCTCTAGAGAGTAGAATGCACATACCAAACCATTCCTGAAAGGAAGGAGAAACGGAGACGGAATGACAGCATGACCATGCCTCAGGAGGGCCGCCTTCTTAATTTCTCTCTCTGGCAAGTATATGTGCCCTCTGACAAAATAAGAATTATGGGTATTTTTTGTTGCAGAAGTTTATAATATAATCATCAAAAATATTTGAAAGCATATGCATTTTTTATTGTGAGATGAATAATTTCAGTGGCAATAGAACAAAAATATAAGAGTGGAAAAGACTACAGTAAAATTTCTAACTTTTTAAAAAAGTTTCAAAGTGTGTTGCTTACTTATGTATTACATACTGTGTGAGTGTGTATATATATATATGAAAGCTTTAATTCATATATGTACATATTTTGTGGGGTTGTTCTCTAATGGTTGATGGTGAGTAAAATATTACTGTAGCATTTAAATTCCATTGGATAAATAAACAGGACAGTAATTTTTTTAATGCAAAAATATACTATAATCTGAAAAATTACATCCTTTGCAGCAATAAATATATATCGACTTTAAAAAATTAAAAACTACTGACTTACAGTTTTTTCTACTGAAATAATTTTCAAATATTATCTTTTTTATGAGAATACAGGTGATTGAAGATAAAGACCATGTATCCTAAGATTTATATCTTTCACAAAACTAACAAGTATCTTGTTCATAATAAGAACTCAAATATTTGCTGAATTAGATGATCTTTATTTTCATCACAGGGAGTCATTCATTCTTCTTCAACTGTTTTTCTTTATTTATTTTAATTTGAACAGAGAGTGATAGAGTGAGAGAAAGAGGGAGGGAAAGTGAGAAAGCAAGTCGCCAGGTCTGGGACTTGAACCATGGTCAGCCATGTGGGAGTCCAGTGCCCTTAAACACCATGCCACCTACCAGCTCCCAACTGTTCTTATCCAACCTCTAGGTTAGTTTCTTTTACCAACTATAATCAAAACAATTGCTAGATGGAAATAAAATTTGGGCTTAAAAATGTTTACATTTCATTCCTGAAATGAGCATGGAGAAAAGACTGTGAGAGAGAACAAGTATATACAGTAAACCAATGGCAATTTTAAAAGATGTGGTTATTTTCTACATAAAATAGAGCAACACTAAGCATTCAGAAATATATTTATTCACATAAGTGTATATATTCTTAACTAAAAACAGCTTATTTTTAAGATAATTCTTTTCAATGTGCACCAAATTAGAAAGCAGTAAAAACACTAACAGATGGCTCAGAGTGGTTGGTAATGAATTTCTTCTCTCCAGGTTACTAATAGAGGATCGTAATGAAAAATTACATATATATCTTTTACACGTTACTCAGCACATCTGCTTAGGACACTGTAAACTCAAGATATTGCCTGACACTGCTTTATTTGCTACATATGGAACAGTTAAAATTAAACAAGCACTACGATGCAGCTTTATGTATGTACCCTGATTTACATATACACTTTTGCAATTTTTGAGGATTATCAACAACGTTTGGTGTTGTCCTCTGATTACAGTCCTGTTAAATTATGTTTAAATAGAATGTGGCATTTTATTTTGTTTTTAGTGTTAGTCAAAGAAATAATGTCACACATAGACCTCTTAAAAATAATATAAAATAACTTAGGCAAAAGCAAAATTTTCAAGTACAATAAGGGCTGGCCCTGTAGCCTTGTGGTTAAGAGAGCCAGATCTCATGTGGCTGACTGTTGGAATCCCACCCCAGTGGCTTGAACACAGGCCAGCACTTGCGCATGTGTGCCCTAAATCCTGACAGGATGGAGAAATGGAGGAGAAGGGATGGCAGTGTGACCTTGCTCCACTGGGGAGTGCTTTACCCCTCTTCCTCTCTCTGCATTGCTGTCTCTGACAATTAAAAAAATACATTTAAAAGCTCGTGACCTTAAATAGAAATATCAAGTTTGGATTCAGGAACGTGAGAGCCTAAGATCTGCCCCGATTCTTACCATTCCTTCGCCATCACGAGATTGTTTCCTTGAAGTAAGAAAATACTGTCTTGAGCTTATAAAAACTCCTTTTCAAAAGAAGAATTTGGAACTATTTTATATCCAATGACTCTTTACTGAACAGGATTTCTGTGGATGCCAATTCCAGGTCACGTCTGCTGAGCATCCCTTGGTCCCAGGCACTGTGCTTAGTACTTCACGTTTAATCTTCATGACACCTTTCTCAGGTAGGTATTATTGTGGCCGTCTTCCAAGAGATGAAGCTAAACCCAGGTTCAGGGAAGATGAAAGTCATTGTGGAGACGCACATGCTGTGGTCTTTGTGGACTCCCCCATTAGGCGGTGAGCTCCTTGAAGTGGCAGGGAGGGGACTCTGCGTTACTGTATCTCTGCTCACACTACAACACCAAGGACGTGGAGGGAAGTGAGAGAAGGATAATCCCTTTCTGTCATGTTATCTCAGTGGGTAAAAGCAGGATGTAACAAGTGAATGTCCAGACTAGGAAGTCCAAGGTCCTTCTTGGAAGAAACTGAGAGAAAAATCCTATTTCTAAGGACATCAGAATATGAAAACACTTCCACAAAAATACAGGGTACTTGGAAAATTAAGTGCTCAAACTCACACCCTCTTTTCCTGGGATTAAATCTAACTAATTAGTGCCCATTTAATTATTTATTATGATAGGTAGCATTGACGATGAAGACCTGGGGCTTTTTTTTTTTTTCCCCTCCTATGTTAAGTTAGTTTTTTGGTCCTTGTGTAAAGTTTTATAGACCTATTTGGGAAACAATGTCAGATATTTAAATTTCTCTAAGGCAGAAAACTTCAGAGTCTGAATATCTGGTGGTGGATCAATCAAAATAACCAATTAGGACTTAAAAGTGGTCTTTTGGGGGTTTTACTTTAAGCTCTTACTACTTTATTCTCTTGCTAAAAAGATCAGAAATAATCTGATGAAATCACATTTATTGCCTATAAAACATCAAAGTCCTTTATCATTACAACCTTGGGGTTCCCAAAGACCATCAGCATCCTGAAGAAGAGGACAAGAGCCACCTAGGACCATGTTTCTGCTTCTTCCCTATTCATAGTCCCCACATTTTTGTCCAGAGTACACAATTGAACAGAAATAGCCTCCTGAACTATGTAAGTTCACTTTCACTATATCCCCAAGTCCCAAAAACAGTTTGTTTTAATCTGGCCCAAAGGAAAAAAAAATCAAAGTAAAAAGAAATAATTTTATTTTGGACTGCCAAATTACATGTATGTGAACAACTTTGGCAAAATAACAAAAGCAACAGTTCTGTTTTTTTTTTTTTCCTCTCTCTCTTACAAAGTACTTTTTAAAAAGTGTTTTTCTTCAATGCACATTAAAACAAACATAAAAAGGATTGATTCAGGGCTCCTTTTTGTGGGAGAAATAACCCAAAGATATTTTAGTTCCCTGGTAAGGCTTCAGCATCCATCAGAACTGTCTTTCCATAATTGTAAAATTGACTGTGAGCCAAAGTCTGTTTAACCATCTGTGTTTCCAATTTGCCTACAGAGGTAAAAGCACTTAGAACAGTGCCTGACACATGGGTAGCACACACTAAATGTGATTAATGGCAAGAGAGCAGTTTAGATACAATAATGTGTGGTTCAGACTCAGAACTGCCTTTCCATAATTGTAAAATTGACTGTAAGCCAAAGTCTGTTTAACCATCTGTGTGTTTCCAATTTGCCTACAGAGGTAAAAGCACTTAGAACAGTGCCTGACACATGGGTAGCACACACTAAATGTGATTAATGGCAAGAGAGCAGTTTAGATACAATAATGTGTGGTTCAGACAAAAAAGGAACCGTCAAAGGGGAGGACTGTTTTGTGTTAGGACACTCAGTGTTTCCAGAAAAATGAAATAGGTATAATCAAGTCTGAACTTGAACTTTCATGATGTTTCAGGAGCCCACCCTCAGGAATCCTCCAATCTTACCTTTTCCACTTGTTTTGGGTTATAATAATTCAGAAAATATTTTTAATAGATAGAATGATCCTGCACTTGGAACTTGCCCAAGCCAGACTGATCTAACTTATTGTTACTCGAGGCAGTGTACAAACTGCCAGACTCATGCTGGTTTGAGTGTCTTTTACAGTAGTCAGAAAAGAGGCTGTGCTAAACTAAAACACAAAGCAAAACATAGCTCAAAGGACTGAACCAGCAAAGAATGAACACGGTTTCATAACAGCAATATGAAATATTATTATGTTAATAGTAACTGATGACCCAGGCTGTATGACCAAGCCAAAACTTCTTAGTGTTTAATTTTGTGAAAATTATTTCAACATCAAAGTAACTATTCTTTTTTTTCCTGAGTACTGAAAGATTTTGGTAAGCTTACCAACAATATAACTGTTTCTTTATAAACATCTTTTAACAGACTCTAAAAAACATTCCACATGAAAATACACAAAAATAGAACTTAAACAAAATACAAATTCTAATACACAAAAGAAAGCTGAGGGAACAGTCTATTTTAACATGACTGTTACTGTCACTAGCCAGCCGTATCTCCTTTGGTATGAGAGCTATGGTAAGAAAATTTCAATGTAATCACTTTCAAATATATAAACATTAGTTACGTCTTTGGATTTCTAGTCACTTGCTTAATGAAGCAGTAATATAATACACTGAAATCTTTTCAATTTTAGGAGAACCTTGTTATAAAGAATAATGCTGGAGCCAGTCCCTTAGCCTGGTGGTTAAAGGATGTTGGTTCCTACGTGGGTGACTACAGTTTGAATCCCAGCCATGGTGGCTGGAAAAATACACCAGGCATATGTGTGTGCATGCCCTAAATTCCAACAGGACTGAGAAACAGAAAAGTCTGAGGCATGAGCAGGCCTCCTGGGAGGCGCTTTCTCCCTCCTCTTCTCTGTCTCGCTTTGACAAGAACAAACACACTCTGGCAACTTAAAATAAAAGGGAGGGCGCTAGGTATGACACTGAACTCGCCTTTCATTGTAGTGAAATGAGCTCCTTTTGCTGTTATTTCATTACAGAGTCGTACCATCCAAAATCTAACTTTAAAAAATACGTTCTTTGGCAATGCCTGCTTACATTTCTGATCAGAATCCATAAAGACGCTTTAAAAAAATAAAACGATACTTCAATGTGAATATAAAATTCTGAAGGAATCGTCACTTCAAACACAGTTTCCTTCCTGCGTCTGTTCATGTCCGGGAGCGGGAGGTCGTCACGCAGTCTCTGCAGCTCCGAGGAATTCCATTTCCACCGCAGCTTTCGGCTGCTGAGCCGAGCCTCTCTTTTTCCGAAACTCTGCGGCGATTTCCTCAAAAGACTTTCCTTTGGTTTCTGGAACTTTAAAAAATGTAAACAGGGTGAAGGCCAGAACCACGCCAGCAAAGAGGAAGAACACGTAGGGTCCGCAGAAGCCCTGGGGAGAGAACAGACAGAGTTGGGATCAGCCGCGCTGAGCTGCTTGCTGGCGTCTTCCCTGATGAGGCCGGGGGCGTACCTCGATGTACGGGAAGCACAGGCCCACGATGAAATTGCACGTCCAGTTGCAGCACGCAGCGATCGCTAACGCCGCAGGGCGAGGTGCTTGGCTGAAAAACTCGGCCACCATGAACCAGGGGATTGGGCCTGGCCCAATTTCAAAGAAACTGACGAAGAGGAAGATGGCCACCATGCTCACGTAGCTCATCCAGGTGAACTTGTTCTGAGGGAAGAACGACAGCATAGTCAGCCTGGGCTCACTGGCTTCCTTCTCCTTTAGCTAAGGAGCCTCTCCCTGAGTTCAGAGGCGGACTTAGTGCTCTTCCGGATCCGCTGATGTTCAGTCCAGTACCGGTTAGTCCCAGGCAAATGATTCTAGTCTCATTTCTGCTTCAATCTCTGTTGTAGGTAACCCCAGGGATCTCTAGGACCCATACTCATTTCCTGTGAAAGAGGTAAGACAGAGGTCCAGCAACCTTTGCTCCTACTCCTTCCACGGTTACTAGATAAAATGTTCCACTACCTATGAAGTAGTGGAAGAGGACACCAGCTAAAAAAGGTTTTGGGTACTCGCCCAAGGTCCCCCAGGTAGCCAAGTGCAGAGCCATGACCCTGGCTGGAGCAGATCCTAGAGCCTCTGTTCTACTGTGGTGGGATTCTGCCTCTCTGGAGAATAAATAAAACACAATACTGTTTTGTCTTGAAACCCAACCAATAAGTTTCCCTGTTCTTCCCATGTCTCCTGGTGTTTTATGCCATTCTTGTGGGTTTATTTCAGAAGTCGTTCTCAAAGGTTTTTGACACATACAGGAAACACTAATCTGGAGCACAGAGGTGCTATCGCACAGTAACCAAGGTCTCAGTTTGGCGGCAAACTCACCAGTAGCACGAGTCCCACCGACATGAAGATGGCACAGAAAAACATCCCGCTCATCCCAATTAGAAACAGAGAGCGCCGCCCTGCCTTATCCACGAGGAATACCTAGGCAAGTTTTAAAATATTCATATTATTTTAGTCTTATGAGTCACAGAACATTGACTTTATAGTTAAATCAACTTACTATCAATGAGGTCATTTAAATTTATACAGCAAGGAGGAGAGTGTTCTGTTATTCCATTTTTCAGATGTGAGTCTGAGGCAGGGAGTGGCTCTTGCAGCTGGTGGCAGAGCTAGTTTCAGTGAACAGAGGTGATGGACAAACACCTGCCTAATGTAGTCACATCGATTTGAACAGGCCATTCTGGAGACAGAACCATAACACCCATCCTAGGAATATTACCTTGAGTACCCTATACAGAGATTGTACTTCTTGGATTTTGCTCAATTCGATTTGCTATACGTTTTAAGCACGAAGTTTCTGCATTAAACAATGACATCGCTCACCCTCCTCCACACTGTCTCTAGGATCCATAGTTGATCCCCATGTTTTTATACCTTCTAATCTTTCAGTTTTGCCATAAAGTGCAGACATTCTGTATATACTGAGTGGGGACATACAATGCCTCCCTTTCAGAGTCTGACTTGCTTCACTTAGCATTAACATTAAACCTCCCATATCTATCCACTTTCTATCAAATGCCAGAGTCTCATTTGTCTTATGCCTGAGTAGTGTCCATACTGCATATGTACCACACTTCTTCAATCCATTCATCTGTTCTTAGACATTTGGGCTGCATGCTTTGAAAAAAATCACACCTCCTCAAGGTTGTACAATTATATGTAAGTCAGAAATCATAATAAAAAATTGTTGTCATCCTAAAAAAAAAGAAATAACCTCTTTTTTTTCTTTCTTTCTTTCTTTTTTTTAATAGGAGGTATGTGCTTGAGAGAGAGAGAGAGAAACATCACCTCCGTTCTCCTCTTAGGATTTTGGTCAGGCACGTACATGCTCCTGGCATAGTTTTCAAGCTGCTGGGTCCAGGGGTCAAACTGCGGTCAGCCATGTTGGAATCCAGCACCTTAACTACCATGCCACCTGCTAGTCCCACCTTCTCTTTTAAAGTTTATTTTCTTCTTACATCACACATACACACACCCTGAGACGCAGGTACCCTCAACAACGTCCTCATTCCATGATCCACTCACCAGTCTCAGCTGGCCTCCATCCTGGGCACATGCACTTGCCCAGAAAGCCAAGGGAGGTCCTAGGATGCACACCGAAGACCATCCCACTTGGGTCCAGGTGTGGTACTCTGCTCTACCGCTTGGCTCATACATTAACTTCTCTTCTGGTAATCATCCTACGTTATAATTACAAGGTTTTGTGACCATAGACACCTGAAGTGGTGTAACTATTCAGGTTTCAGGTCAACTGCTTTCACCCAATTTTCTCGCTGCTTAATGAAGTCAAATTCTGACCATTCACCTGGCAGCATACAGAATTTTATTATTGCATCAAAATAGCAAGGTTTGCATTTTACTGGTGTGCTTAAATGGGCCAGGTGCTGGAAATGAATATTCGCTGGAAAAGATAAGACTTTAAGGCCAAAGAATTAAAGTGCTTTCTCACCTCATTGAGGAGCTACATCATTGATTCCTTAACCACCGCATCACCCACTGGCCCCCTCTGTTTTGTTTTCTCTCTCAAGAGTACAGGCTTTTGTCTATCAGCCCCTTAATGTGTGAGAAAATACAGAATGTGAGACATAATTCAGCATGGATCTGGGAAAGTATCTTTCTCTAAATACTCATTCAGAAAAACGGATTATATTCCTTCTGAGTTGGTGAAACATCAGTATATGAGTGCATATTTCTATTCGCATATCTTTATTCGACAGGGTACAGATTTGAGTAACATTATTTATTTTTAGAGAGTGAAACTGGGTGACTGAAGTACTCTCTTTTTGTACCTCTTGAACTCTCATCAACAACGTTTCAAAAATAAGTATTACAAAATGTTACCTGCAGTCCTAGAGAGTTAATTAGATGACTAGAATTGGTTTTTCAAAGTTATGTCACTCATCTGCTCAAAACCTTTCACAGAATATAAAGGATAAACTTTAAGAAGAATTTGAAATAATTAAGAAGTGGTCTAAAATAAAAAGCTCTTCCCACTGTAATGGGGTTAGAGCCGGGAGGTACAAATGAAATTCTGTAAGACCTCCCCCTTTATACTTTCTCAGAATTGAGGTGACTCAGTCTTGATACCTTGACGTTTTACATAGCAAGTCCTATTATATACAACATATTTTAATAATTGTATTTTAACATTTGTTGAAGTAAAATTTGTAAAAATTATTAGCCTAAGGAGACAAAAGGGCAAATGGTCCCTTGGACTGCATTCCAGTTATGGGTTTTGTCATTGATTTAGAGTGGCCTTCTGGCTTGGACAGACGTTATCTCTAAAGACATGTCTACAGAACTGCTGGTGTTCCATTATCTGTTCTCGCTCTTTACAAGGTTCAGGACTGTTCAGCATGGTTTGCCTTTTGATCTTGGGAGCAAGGCTGTACTTTATTGACCACCCTAAGGTAATAATTAAAAGTCCATGTGCAGAGAATGAAAAACAAGTGACTAAAAATATATTGAGTATAGTATTGGAATCAAAATTTAAAAGCATAGGCTTTTTGAATATCCTATATTAAGGCTAACAATAAGGTCAATTACCCTCATTTCAGAGTGAATTACTGTAATTGAGAAGTTTTTGTCTTTGTTTACCTTATTTCTTATATTATTACATTAAATATTATTGTTGTCAAAATATCGAATCATTCCTTATACAAGGTACTTAATCTATTTTTTTAAAGAATTATTTTATTTTCCTCTCTCTCTCTCTCTCTTTCTCTCTCTCTTCATTTGACCAGAGAAGGGGAGAGAGCGAGAGCGAGAGAAAGAGAGAGAGAAAGAGAAAAAGTGAGAAAGCAAGCCGCCAGGTCTGGAACTCAAACAACAGTCGGCCCTGTGGGAGTCCAGTGCCCTTAACCACCATGCCACCTGCCGGCCTGCAAGGTACTTAGTTTTAAGAAGAGCAAATGACCATTTCCCCTTGGAACAAAGCAACGAAGTTCTGGATCCATCCTACTTCATTCCATCCTCTCGTATTAGCACACGTGCTTGTAGGCGTCACTAGAAGCTGCTGCCTTTTGAACTACCTGAGAGCTTTGCTCAGGCCTAACATCTTGGGGTTTGCTGAGTTCCTTTAACTTTGCTTAGAGACTTAGATATCTTTTAGAGAAGGTCTTGTTTATTATTATTTAAAAAATATGTTCCTGGGACTAGCAGATGGCGTAATGATTATGTTGCTGGACTATCACATAGTCGACTGCAATTCGAGTCCTGGACCCAGTGGCTTCAAATTCACACTGGGACCATGTGCCCAAGATCCCGGGAGGAGAATGGAGAAGGGATTGTGGTGTGGCCATCCCACCCAGGGGGTGATTTCTTGCTTTCTCTCTCTCCATCTCTCTGTCTCTATGGTGAGTACAGTATGCACCCTATAGAAAAAGTCTTTCTCTCACACTCACAAATTATATATATATATATATTCCCAAGCCGTTAAGATACAAAGTTTCTGTTAATCATGGAAGGAGTGGAAAGTTATGCAATTGGAAGACTGTACAGTATTAATAGAATGACAAGTTATTGGCAAATCCCAAGGGCTTTAAGCACAGAGCAAAAGAGAAGGAACCCAGGGATTTTCACAAAGAAAATCCAATGTCTCCAAGTGAGTTACGAATTCACAGACAAGTGACTAAGGCGTGCCAGCACTGGGGAGGGCCAGTGACCAATCTCTCAGGTATCCCTAACCTCAAGGAAGTGGGTAGCTCGTTCACAGATAGGATCTGTCCCACAACCCACTTGGCTGTGCCTATCTAGAGCGCGTGGACCACCCATCACTGACTGCTTTTAGATGACACATTTCCCCCTCATTTCTGGATGAAGGAGCAAGCAGTCAATTCATCCGGGGTTCTGACTTACAGAGAGAACGGTGAAAACCGTATTGATAGCACCAACTCCAATGGTTGCATAAACAGGCTGACTGATTCCAGCCGTATGAAAAATGTCGGTTGAGTAGTAAAAGATCTGCAAAACAAAAACAATTTAGCCTTAATCTTTCTTTCTTAATCTGATGTTTTCAAAGCAGAAATATTCTATGTTGTTCATTTCTAGTTATTTCTACAGAACCATGATCCCTAGACTTCCTAAATATTGTCTTCTACTCCTTCCAGAGAAGGAGAATCCAGGTTCTTCATTTAGTGTTTAAAGTTTCTCATTGCTTTAAAGTTCGAGTTAGCTGAAAACTCTGCTACTACATTGTATGTGTATTTTAAAAGTTCAGATTTCCTATTAAAGGATAGCATACATATAATAAATGTGTAGTTCGATTATTTATTATTATTATTATTTTTTTACCAACTGATCACATCTGTGTAACCAGCATCTAAATCAAGAAATAAATAGTTTCCAATCCCTCAAAAACCTCCCATTATGTCCCACTATCCATGGTCCCAAGGAAGCCATTTTTCTTTCTTCTTATGGTGAAATATGCACTTACATCCAGGGATGGAATTACTGGGCTATTGTGTGAGCGTGTGCTCAGATACTACGAGTTTTCCAAAGGAGTTTTGACAATTTAATTTGCTCTTAAGAGTTAGATGGCGTTTTTTAAACGTACCCCGTTGATTCCAGAAAATTGTTGAGCCATGTGCAGCATCAGCGCCACCAGAGTAGGCTGTCGGTACTTAGAATTGGTGAAGAGCTGAATGATAGAGACTTTCTGCTCACTCGATGCTTCTTCTTTCTCTTTTCTCATCTCATTAATGTCTTTGGTGACATCGTCACTTCCTCTGAGTCTTTTCAAGCCTGTTCTCCAAAATAATCAAGTTGAAGTAACTCAGGTAAAACAAAAATAAATTTATTTTTACTATATTAATAAAAAGCCACAGTTCTACATATCTCTTTTCCATTACTTAATCACATGGGAGCTAGACATTCTCTTTTGGGGGACAGCAGGTGGTGTAGTGGTTAAGGCATTGGACTCCCAACATGGCCACCCATGGTTTGAGTCTCAGACCTTGAAAATTAGCTGGGTGTGTGTGCATGGGTGCTCAAAATCCTGAAAGGAGAATGGAGGAGAAGGGATTGCAGTATGGCCATCTGTCCTGGCGAGTGATTGCTCACTTTCCCTCTCTCTGTCTCTCTTTGGTGAGTACTTGTGCCCTATGGCAAAAAAAAAAAGAAATTATTTTTTGTTGAACAAAATATTGAGCTTAATTTTTTTTCTTTTGCTGGAGCATGCATACTTTCAACAGAGAGAGAGAGAGACAGAGAGAGGGAGAAGAGAAAGCACCCCCCTGGGGAATGGTTACAATGCAATCTTCTCCATCTGTCCCTTCTTTTGGGTTTTGGGCATGAACACACACATGCTTGGAATGTTTTTCAAGCCACTGGGCCCAGGACTCAAACAGCTCAGTTGTCATGTGAACTCCTGCTGCCTTATCTGCCAGTCCACTGAGTTGGGCTATAAAATTCTGCTCTTTGATTATAAACAAAACAAAACAAAAAACAGAACATTTGGCTTCATCTCATGACAAGAAAAAAATACTGTGCTCCTCATCACCATAGAAGCGCTAAGGTGGAGGGATCTCTTAGAATCCTCTGGTTCAGTTTAATAACCCTGTATGTGGGTTTCTGGTTTGGGTTTGAGTGAATGTGCATGGGTGTGGGGTGGCACACATCAGTCATGCTAAGGTGATTCTGCACATTCTTCCTACATGCCATCACTGCCTTCTTTGTAAAGCACCAGTGCTAATTTCACGAGCAACCACTCAGGCATACCGTTTTGTTGATAATTCCAAAACAACAAGAAGAAACAAAAGCCAACCATAGACTCACTTTTCTTTGCTTTGGCTTCCTCCTCCAACTTGATGTAAAGGTATCTGGGGCTTTCTGGACAGAATAAGAGCAGTAGAGACTGGAGGATGGCCGGCACAGCAGACAGGCCAAGGAGGATGTGCCATAGGTCATAACTGCCCAGGATAAAGTCGAGGCCGATGATCTGGAAAGTCAGGGGAGAAACATACCCCAGCATAACACTGTGGGCCTACATTTAAAGTCACTTTGGTGAAAAAGCACCCTCGTTACTAAATTGCAATCCCTGAAAATTTCAGTTCAAGTAAGCAGAAGATGAAAACTGTTACTTTTGTGTGTCACTCTAGCGGAAATAGAGACTATTCGTTTTACAAAAAATTCATCTAGACTTGTTTGATGAATTCCCATCGGGTGTTAAAGAATGGGAATCAACCAAACTTTAAAAAATGCATTTGCTATCTAAAAATGTATAGATTTAGTCTCCAGGCAACAAGACAGACTCATACTCTATTAGAATCATGCATAACTTTGGATTTCTACTTAAACACCCCTTCTTACATCACCCAGAACTTAAATAGAGTCGGGGCTTCTATACAGAACGCTTTGCTGAGAATCGATGTGTGATCTGTACTGCGGTTTGCAGACCACCCTGTGGATCATAATGGTCTTGGGGTTCCCAGGACTCCCTCTGAGACCACGAGGTAGAAGGGAAGGTTAGAACCAACTGCACAAGAGCTCCTATGGGGTCCATTTACATTTTAAATTTACAGCTGAGATGCTCAAAACAAAGGAAGCCAAGGCAGTCAAAATATGAAGATTCCCTGTTTTCGAAGTCTAAATAGAATTATTTGATTCTAGAATTGCTCTGAAGTTTGAGATTTGGCGTGCCAGGTCACAACCAGTGCCAATCCCACCAGCAGCTCCAGGGAAGAGAAAGCTAGGAGTAGTGATAATTTACCTTTGCGTTAAAAAAATGCATCTCTCTACACCATCTTGCCACTGCTGGTAGAACTGCTTTTTGTTTTGTTTAGTTTTGTTTTTCGCTCTGTGCTCGTGGTCTGAAGTGAGAATGGACAGTTAAGAATGGAGAGGGTAGATAATGGATGAGGTAAGGGAGGGAGGATTTTTACCTGACTAAAAAGAATGCCTGTGACAACAGCCAGCTGGTGAATAGTGCCAAGGGCACCTCTGAGCGTGGTTGGAGCAATTTCACCAATATACATTGGAACCAGGCCTGAAATTAGCCCTGCACAAAACATGAACATAATATTGAAATGCAACCAGAACAGTGTCAGTAACATAATTTGGTTTCAGTGCCATCAGTATCCTGACTCAAAGTCTCTTCTTGAATGAAGAGCCCTCGTCCCCAGCTACAGACATGGTTCATATAAAGAATATTTGTTTTTTGTTTTTGAGAGATTTTTGTTATAGGGAGTGTGTGCTTGCCAGAAAGACAGAGAGAGACAGAGAGACAGAAATTGTTCAAATTAAATAAGGAAAAAAATGTATTTGGCCCTATTTTGAGTTGTAGTATCTTACTATAATAGCTACAATTAGACTTCAGGAACCGGATAATGTAAATGGACTCACGAGTCAGAAGTCTCACAAACCTGAAGTCAAATTATATTTTCCATAATTTGTAGCAATGTTAATGCTCAAAGTAGGGTCAAACATAATATTTTAAGAAGGTTGGAGAGTACAAGTTATTAGGCTATGCCAGTTACTTGCTTTCACGGTATGTTTTTAGTGTTTGTTTTCGATTATGCTAAAATATTTTGTCATTTTTTTACACCCTTTTACAGAGGGAGAGAAAAGAAAGAGGAATCATTATTTGGATCTCTTTCCCAGTGTTATTATTCTAAGTTTATAGAAGGAGAGACTAAGGCTCATATTTAATTAATATATTGAAGGCCATGCAGAGACAGTGCCAGAAATGATTCATTCTGAATGCAAACCTCTCTCCACGTAGGAGTTGACTCTTCACCTTGATAAAGCTACCCTTGTCTTTGGTTATTTGTATTAATACTAAAAATAATGAAAAGAGACATTTAATTAAGTTCTTAATTTGTGAGTATTTTAAACTTTTGCTTCAACTGATTGTTGAAGACACATGGAATTATAATCTTTTCTCTTTTGCAGGTAAAAGTGTTAAAAAGTACTCCATGTCCAAATTTATTTCCCTCACTGCTCCTTCCTCATTCCCAGTGCTTATTAGTGCCTTGGAAGGCAACCATAATTTGTGAGAATGGGTCAAAATCCCAGTCCAGGACCATTAGCATCTGGGCTTTCTCAGCGTTCAGAAGTTAGAGGTTCGGCCATTTGTTTTAGTGAATCAACTATTCTCCCTCTGTAGAGACCTCTGGAAATGGCCTTTGAAAGTTTGAAAGTGGCCCCGAAGAATGAATGATGCTCACTGTTCAGGGTAAAGTTCATGGAGAGGAAACCTCACTCTGTCCTGAGCTCCTCTACCAGCTGCTTCGACCTGATATCTCTCCCCATAGACACCACCTCTTTAATGTCTTACTTAGCCGTGTCTGGAGTCAGACAGGGCTAGGGAATGTGTTCTGAGAGCTGGATCCAGGGTGTCCAAGTCTTCTCAGACGTCGGACACAGACAGTGACCAGGTAAGCCCTAGGGCAGTTAGAGGCCCGCGTGTACCAGTAACAGGACTAGTAGCAACAGAGCGAGTTTATTGGCAGCTTACCGTGGGTCCAGTTTTATGCTGAACACATTACCTATATTTTTACAACCACATTGTAGTACAGGTAGTATTATCTTCTTCATTTACTAGATGAAGAAACTGAGACAGTTAAATCGTTTGAGATATCACACAACTAAAAATGATGACTTTGCAGAGAAAAGAACACAGTATCATGACTTCACCGTTCCCACTTACTGGTCCCACGCCACTTTCTGAACCAGGACTTCTAGTCAATACTATTGCTTTGCCTCTGTGATGTCGCCCTAGGGGCTAAAAAAGCCCCCCTGGATGTTACCACATCTGCCTTCAGAGGAATTTTCAGAAGTATGTTTGTGGGTGTGACTTACCACAATAGAGTCCTGACATGCTTCTTCCTGCGATGATAAGAATATGAGATGGTCCCAGTTTGGAAAACCCCATCAAGAGCGCTCCCACTATGGAGAGAATGTTGGCTGCCAGCATGCCTTTGATTCTAAAATGGTAAAAAGCAAGGATTAAAATTCAGCACCCAAACTCGATACGGTTGTTTGCTTTCAGAGCATGTCAAGATTTTTACCCAAGATCGATTATTTTAACTATGCTATAAGACTAGCTGGGGAATCTTGAACCAAGATTGCCACTTTGACTCATCCATGGACTGATGAGTCATTGTATGTATGTATGTATGTATGTATGACTGATGAGCCATGTATGTATGTATGACATGGGTGACTGATGAGTCATGACGTGTTACCATCTATAGTTGGTAACAGTAAGTAATATTTATGATGAGGGAATCCAGGTTGCCCAAGCCTGGTCTCCACGTTTTAATAGAGATGATTCAATTGCAATGATGATGAGTTTGATTTAAAATAGCACTTGAGATACTTTTCCAAACAGTTAACTACGTTTTCAACAAGTTAATCATTTTAGAGAATAATTATCTGGTAAGAGCTAAATTCAATTCTGTAGTTGTAATCTATAACTATTTATTTCGTTTTCTTTCACTGGTACAGAGTTTTAATTGATGTGGCTAGGAAAGGAACGTTCAAAGTGAAATTTCCTTTTATATAAATTAGGTGAAAGTAAATTAAAACATGCTTTTACTTTAAACCTTATTATAGAGTAATATAATTATTATTTCAACTTTTTTTTTTTTGGAGAGATTTTTGCTATAGGGTGCGTGCGCTCGCCAGACAGACAGAGAGAGACATAGAGACAGAAAGCGAGAAATCACCCCCTAGGGGGGATGGTCACGCCACAATCCCTTCTCCTCCATTCTCCTCTCGGGATCTTGGGCACGCATGCACACTCGCCTGGCGTGAGTTATAAGCCACCGGGTCCGGGATGTGAACCGCGGTCGACTACGTGGGAATCCAGCGACATAGCCATTACGCCAACTGCTGGTTCCCCAACGTTTTAAGTATATATACTTCCAGAATCTATGAATCGATGTTAACCAATGTAAAATACATATAAAATTGACAATAGCAAGAAAAGACAGCATATTAAAAATCAATCATGTTAAAGTGAACCATAGAGGCATTGCATGTCCCCTTTTAATATATACTGAATGCTCATACTCTATGGCAGAAACAAGATATTGGACCGTAGAAAAGCAGGGAAAGCAACTGTGGTCACCAGAGACAGTGTAGGAGGGGAGCGGGAAATGGCAGAGGGTGAGAGGGCGGGGATCAAGGCGAAAAAAGAAAGAAGCAAAACAGTGAAGAAACACAAAATGGAAAATTATCTGTTGAAAATAATAGGCATGGTAATATCTTTGATTGGGCCAATATTCAGTGTATTCAGGATGGGAAAATTCATTGTTTATGCTGTAATGATATACAGTGAATGAATGTAAAATAAATTAAATAAACACAAGAAATAATTATGAAAAAAAGAACAACACTTGCAGATATCTGACTCTTATTTCTGGTAAATGGAAGTGTGAGGTACACAAAAACCTCAAAGTTAATATAATGATAAGGCCAATGCAACAATCCAAATAGGCAGCTATGGAAAAGTTTGTGCCACACAGAAAAAATACATACATATATATATATAAAACCACTTTGTTATATTTTATTTCAGTGTTCAAATCTGATAGGGTTTTTCTAAGCAATTATCTTTAACACCAAAGCTTTTGTTTCTTTCTTTATGTGTTTTGTTTTCAGGCAGGAACGACGCCATCATTTCATACTGCAGTTATTGCCCACCAGTCACCTGAGAGGCTGAAATGTCCCCCATGAGTCCAGGTCCTATCCTCAGACCCTGTAAATGTTAACTTACACAGCAAAAGGGCTTTGCAGATATTGCGAAATGAAAGATCTTGGGTTGGGGAGATTCTCTTGGATTACCCAAGTGAACCTGATGATGTAATCACCATGTCCTTTTAAGAGGAAGACAGGAGGGAGAAGGACCGTGACGACCAAGCAGAGACAGGAAGGATGTGCTTTGAAGGAGGAGCCCCAAACCAAGGACGGTAGGTGCCGGCGGAGACTGCAAAAGGACAAGGAATAGATTCACCCCTCAGCGCCTTCAGTGACAGCTTGTCTTCAGCCAGTTAAAACTAATTTTGGAGTTTCGATCTCCCAAAACTGTAAGAAAATAAATTCGTGTTGTTTTATGCCACTAAACTGATCCATTGAGGCAGCAATAGGAAACTAATACAAGGAAATGGTCAACTCCCTAAAAGCAGGGGAAACAGTGATTTCAGAGCTGACTGGTGCCAGCACTGCAGAGCAGAAAGACAGTGAAGGCGTGTTTCTCTGCTCAGCCTGCTGCGAAGGGCTTTTCTTCCGCACAAGGACACAGGAAGGCAAATTTAATAATTGACCTTAAGTTGATACCAGTTAGCTAATAGTTTCTTCTAGTAAGGGGATAAAAAGATAAACTGTCTAAAGAAATAGTCTGAAAGAATTTTTGATGCCGGATTGCCCTGAAGTCCTTCTTTATCACCACGCGATGGCTTCTAGGGCCCTTTATACAATTTAATGCCGCTCTGGAGTGAGAAATGACCAAGAATAAATCCCCTAAAAGTACATGAAGTGACGGAACCAGACAAGGAAGCTGAGTTCTCTTAGGTGTATTTAAGTCTGGCTCTAAATACTTTGGATGGCAGAAGCTTTACCATCGTCCTGGGCATCATGGTCATCATCACCATCGTCAAAATAAAATGATATTTGCTGCCTGCTTCGTGTGTGCCAGGCTTTATACTCAGCCCTTTTGGCTTGTTCGTGTTTAATCCTCCCAATTATTCTACGGAGGAGTATTTTTCCCGCATTGCAAATGGGAGAAAACCGAGTTAGAGAAACTAAGTAACTTGCTCATTTTCCCATAGCTATTGAGTGGCAGAGCTGGCATTCAATCTGTGTGCCAAAGGCCAATGCTCCACTTTAATGCATTCCATTTTTGATAGAAAAGAGTGCATGCATTCAAAGTCAAGCTGTGTGCATCCTCCTTGACTCACAGTAGTGTGGACTGCAGAGACCATGAACTTCCCTATCATGTTCTTATAACTAGATTGTAAGTTCACGGCTTGGAAAAAATGACCTAACAAAACCCAAGCTAGAAAATGGTAGCCACAAACATCTATTGACTCTCATACAACTTCAGGAAAAGATAGTTTAAAAACAATAGTGGAAGGATATATTTTTATTTATTTACATTAAACTAGTGGAGAAATGATCCTGGTAATTAGGGAAAGCATATCATTTCTCAGTGACTCTCCATAGAAAAACAGTTTATGGGAGATACGGAACTCTCGTCTTAGTTTTGAAGTTGAAATTATGAATTTTCGGGCAGTTTTTCAAGGAGGATATTTTTTCTACCGAGAGCTGGAAGAAGCCTCACTTTTTATTGACCATAGGTCACTGATAAATGGGCATTTAACATTGTTTGAGGGTGTGACCGTTTCGATGCTAAATCTTAAGACTTCAGAGGATGTGCATGGTGGCTTCATCACCAGGACACTAATTAGACGTTTTAGGGTAAGACGTCACAGCTGTCAGAATCTCAGGGACGTAGAGGTTTTAACTTTTTTCTTTAAGAATGGGAAGAAGTTTAAAATATTGGTAGCCACTAGAGGAATTGATTTGTTCTTCTTTCGAATTAAATTGATGTTTATTTATTTTAGAAATACATCAAGAGACATTGCTATTTACTTTTTTTGTGATATCGTCTAAGCAAAAGTTTCTTTTTTTATTCATACATTTAATCACCATATATTACTACAGCTTATAAAATGAATTTTCCCAGCAGGAATACACTGTATATTAGTCCAGTTAAAAATACTATCATCCATGTTATCATCAACAGATAATATTCGATTTTTGTGTCCCTTGAATGTTTTGCTTCTTTATTTTTCTTAAACAGAGGTTTAAGCAGACTGAATTACCTATACTGGATCTGAGAGGTGTTAAGGAAGCTGGCTCAATAGGATTTTTAATTAAGAGATGTCTTGGGCTTTCTCTTTTCCCACTGGTATTTGAGTATGAAACTGCACAGAAATATTTTTCATTTTTGTGCTCCTTAAATGTTTCACTATTTATTACTTAAACCAATTTTATGCAAATTGAAATTATTTTTAATATTTTGAAATAATAAAAGTCAATTAATTAACTGTATTTTACAAATTATGATTTAAAGTTCAAATAAACACCAGTGAGTTGATAAAAATATATGAAACTGACCACTTCATTTTCCAGTGGAGGAAACACCTTTTCATATAAGAATAATAGTAACATGTGAGTTAGCAAACTACACTTTAGTTAAGAAAACTTCTTACAGTCATATTATATAAAATTTCTAGTAAAAGAAGTTAAAATTTTAGTACCTAGACAGATAAAAATGATAATTTTTAGGAGAAACTAGAAAAACTAAATGAATTATAATCCAGAATTATTAAATCAGTTACCTATATTGTTATTTACATCTTTAAAGGATTTTTAATTTCCTAAATGTTTTACATTGGGTATATATTATTGGTATCATAAGAAAAAAAGTAATTAACACATAAAAATGAGGCTCAAAGGGCAGAAAATAAATCTAAAGAAATAATCATTTGATTTTCTGATTTTATTTTCTCTCTATGAAAGGTGGGAAATCGCAATAGCTTAAAAATGTTGCAAAGCTAAGTGAAATTTGAGTGCAAAGAAGTTTCACTAATTTTTAATCCAAAAACTGTAGTAGAAACCAAAGTTGAGTAATGGAGCTACCACTTGCTTCATCTCTGGTTGGCGCTTTGAAGTAACAGCAGCAGTGTGAGCACCAGTGGCTACAAACCCTAGCCAACAGCACCAGGCAACAGGACTTGGAGCTTCTGACTTGATACTAGGACTTGACTGCTCTAAATGGAAAACTCCGATTTTAAAAAAACAAACAAACAAGCAAAAAAACCTATGTTATTTGAGAAAGGGTGTGATTGGGTGAACCAAACCATGGATTCCCGGGTTAAAAATTCAAATCCAGGCTATTCCCTTGAGTTCCTGAGTTAACCTTTTGTGCATGGTTCCCTAATATGCTTTATAGCGTACAAATCAGAGCAGTCATTTGTAAATACACAAAAACCCACTTTGCTGTACATGCCTGCACAGTTCACCAGAGTGTTGCAACAGCTTTATCCATTGATTTGATCTAATCGATACCTGCCTCGCAAGGTCATGAGTTGAACAAACAACTCTAAAACTATTCCACAAAGGAAGGATGATGCTTTTCTAAATAACTGGTGACAAAATCAAAATACTGAAGTTTCTGTTTTTATGCTTATTTATGAAGTTTGCTTACCTTCCAAACAAGTCCCCAAGCCACCCACCAAAGAACGATGCAATCATTCCGCCAATTGCAAAGCTGGACACAGACAGGGACCAGAGCATGGTGACCAGGCCAGCGGATGTCGTGGTCTCTTCCTCAGCCCAAGTGGCCGGAGTTGGGGGCATTGAGTATGGGGCGGTGGGCAGTTCATCGGTACTGTTGAAAGCATAGTTGTCGACAGCCTTTCGGTCATCTAGCGGAACACCCAAAACTTGTCTGTAATGGGATATTATTATCTGAGGAAATAAAGAACAGTAGCTCCAATATTTCAAACACTCTATACATTTGTGTGTATTTTTTCTCCTTTGAAATGTTTGCTAGGTGTTTCAATGGGACCATTCCAAGTGTGTGTGTTACACACGTACAAATGTCAGTTGACCTTACATATCTTATGAGACAGAGGCCACAGTCTTATTGCCAACTGAAACGAGGCAGGAATAAAGGATGGTAACTAGAGACCGAAATACACTCTCCTCTGGTCAACAGGGTAAAGTATGGTCAGGGCTGTGGAACTAGAGAACATTTGCTTCATCTAGGAAAGGAAGCTCCAAACGCAAGACTAGTATTGGGGTGATCTGTAATTTTTGAATAGAAGCCAGAATCTGGGTTTTTATGTAAAATTCTTCAAGTTTTAAATGTTAACAACTATTCAAATTTCAAATGTTCTAAAGGTTGAAGGATGTGTTTTCACATCAGTGTTACTTCTGCATAGCAGGATTGAAAAGGACTTAAATTTGTGTGTGTGTGTGTGTGTGTGTGTGTGTGTGTGAGTGAGTATATATATATGTGTATATATATATATATATATATATATATATTTAGAATTTTGCTATAGGTTGCATATACTGGTTAGAGAGAGCGAGAAAGGGAAACTGAGCAATCACCCTCCAGGAGTGATGGTCACTCCACTGTTTCCTCTCTTCCATTTTCCTCTTGGGATTTTAGGCATGCACATATACACGCCTGGCATGTTTTTTAGGCTGAGGGATCTGGTGCTCGAACTGTGCTGTTGGCCATGTGGGATTCAGCACCTTAATCACCATGTCATCTGCTGGCCCCTATTAATGTTTTAACAGAAGCATTAAAGTGAATATAAGAAAAAAAGACTGCAAAGGAAAGTTTCAGAACTAAAGTTAGCATCCAAAATTCACACACTAAATATTGCCTTGCTGGAGGTGAACTATAAATTTAGCAAGAAATTTCCTAGCAGGCAATGCGAAAACAAGAAAAAAGTCAGATATATGATTGACCAGTTCTAAAGATAAAAACATCTCCGTGGGCCTGAGAAGGTACTGAGACCTGAAGGATGTTTTCCTACAGGTCCTTGCAGAGTTCGTGTGACTGAGTGAAAAACGTTCTCTATTAAAGCTCACAGAGCTACATTTCACAATGTCCATCACTAGAGGTAAATGTCTTTCCAAAGCATATTCTAATAAAAGCACATGGTTTGGGGGACCAGCAGTTAGCGTAATAGCTATGTTACTGGACTCCCACATAGTTGACCACAGTTCAAGTCCCGGACCTGGTAGCTTAAACTCACACCGGGTGCGTGTGCATATGTGTGCCCAAGATCCCGAGAGGAGAATGGAGGAGAAGGGATTGTGGCATGGCCATCATCCCTGGGGGAGGGGGGGTTCTCACTTTCTGTCTCTCTGTCTCTGTCTGTCTGGCAAGCGCATGCGCCCTATAGCAAAAACCTCTCAAAAAAAAAAAAAAAAAAAAAAAA